GCTTGCTGCATGAAAAGGAAAGGCAGAGAGGGGTTTTTGTCAAACGCGTGTTAAAAGAATTAGCCTGTCTTAGATAAACCAAATTAGGTGGCACCCACGCTTTTGTCAATAAAATAGGTATACAAACTGGTTGAGAAAATAAAGTCTTTCTTTTTGGTTTTGCAGTTCTCAGTGGCTTGCACTGTGCACAGTTTAACACCATCACTTCTTGCGCTTTGGGAACACAGCCCCTGTTAGTCCTCTTTTCCATCTGAATTGGAAAAGCAGCTCAAAGAACTGGCAGCTCAAAAAATTATCTCAGCAATATAACAGCATGTGATATGTTTGTTCTCAATGCCATGCATGCCTGACACATGATTGCAAGGGAAGCTCTTAACTTCATTTAAAAAATCAAGTTTCCACTTCATGTGGCATAAAAAGGTGGAAACAATGGAACCATGAACAATAGTTCAAGATTTATTATTGTTGTTTTACATCATGAATCTAGCTTCCATCCCTTTTAATGCTTGCATTTTGGAATAGCGGCTCTTTCTGAAGTCAGGGTATATGTCGAGTTACTTTTGAGAATGCTCTGCTGCTGCCTGGCTAAGTTATGGCCCTCAGGTATAACAGGCTGCAACCAGGCTCTCGGGCTTCTTCAAAAAGCTTTTTAAAAAGACTGTTCCATGCTGCCTTTAATCTATTTATATTTACTATTAAACTTCTACCATCAATGGCTCTATTCATTGTTGCCCTGGTCTTTGTGTACTCCAGTACACAGTCAATGTAAATGTCCTTATATAATTAAGTCTGTATTCGTAGAACATAGCGCGCCGTTCCCGTGAAAAACCCTAGGAAAGTAAAAGCACACCTTTCTTATGGGGGTGTGGAAGTACAAACTCGAGTTAAGCAGAACACTGGAAAAAATCCAAACTACTATCTGATCATAAGTTATTAGGAAAGGTAGTGTCATTTTTAAAGCTAAGACTTGTCTCCCCCTGCCCCCCCTCCCCGAGACAGGATTCAAAGTATTTCACAAAATAGAATGAAGATCAAGATTTTTATTTCCGTTTCACAGACTGAGAAATGGAATCATAAAGGCCGTGAATGATTTATTAAAATCCAGAGGGAGGTTAATAAGAGTCAGATAAAAACCCCACAATGCTGCGATGAAGCAGATCTTTTGATCTAAAAGGAAAATCACGAACCTAGTATGTGTTTCACAACCTGTACACTAGCCGTGAGAACTGTGATACAGGATGTGGACGTGCTGTGTTTCATTCTGTTTTTCTCATAAATTACTGTTTTTATGTTCATACTCGTTGCCTTAGGGGTCAGTCCTTATCCTGCCAGGCTCAGATCCGGACTGAAATTTCCAAACTGATGGGCCATGGTGCAACACGCTCCATCCTGCAGTGTGGCTTGAGGCCATCTTCATGGCTGATGTGGTGGGACAGCTCTGTGAAGACTCGAGCCCTGCAATTACAGATCCCTGTAGGGAATTTGACCTGGTGATGTAGAGGGGAAGCAAGAAATCCTGCATTCGCTCTCTGCAGTCCTCCACCCCATTCAGGGATGTAGCGGGGTGGGGGGTACTTGGAATGATTTGAACCATGCAACTAACTGATGGGGGCCGGTAAATAGAGTGAACTGATGTAATGTCTGGTCCCTCCATACCTGCTGCTTGCTAAGCTCTCTGGGCGCGGGAGGGAAGACAGCCAAACTGGACGCACAAGTGCTTCGCTGGTGTCCGGGGAACGCAGGCAGTGACGTGTCCCCAAGCCCTGCCCGAGTGACCCGGGGGCAGCCGCTAACACCGGCCGATGCTGCGTACCCCGCACGCCACGCAGCTCTAGCCAAGCCGAGCCCACGTCCCCACAGACCCGCCACCCGCACCGCGGCACCGCGAGTAAACGGCGCCCGGGGGGGCAGCTCTGCGGGGGCAGCGTGAGCGGGCTCGGCCTCTTCACCGGCGGCTACCG